TCTAATTTTATATTATATTCTATTCTATGAATCTTTCAGAGTCATTTAAAATGGCCTCCATCGCATAATGAACATATCCGATTGATATAATATACGTACGTTCTACAAAGATATTGATCTTTATACATATAATAAAAAAATGTCTTCTAATGTACGAACACTTGGTAATGCCTTATGCGACCATTGTTCTGTATCAGATTATAATCCATGTATTGAGTATCTTTGTTCATCGAATAAGAATAAATAAATATATTGGCTCATGTTTATAGGAAAGAAGAAGATTTATATCAATGCAATCTAATGTAGATATTATCTTCGAGTCGACCTGAGTATTTATTGAACGGGGTAGGTATGGGGAAGTATGAGTTGGACTGAAATGAGATCCACACTCACACCGTGCCGACAGTTTTTTCACTACAAAAAAAACAGGTTATTTAAAATAACGTACTAATTACTTTGGTTGTGCCGTACGAATTGGTCTAAATAAAAGATAAAAATAGTTTCAGATAAATGATTAATACTTGTACCGTTCATTGTGTCCTTGAAAAAAATATATCTGAATTAAAAATCAGGACGATTTTGATAAATTAATTCTTACTATAGATGGGGCTAACTAAAATAAATCTAAATAAAAAAGAGAAGTTTGAAATAATTGAATACTTATAGTTCATATAACTTTCCAGCGAATCTAAATAAAAATAATAATTCATATATTTTAATTTATTTTAGGAAAACCCATTTATTTCTAATTGTCTCCAATGTAGATTTATATGAATTAAGTTAATTGAATTAACTTGGTTAAAAACATCTTCGTTCGTCGTATGGAATATTCAAAATATAACGCAGATGCTTGCTACAAATAAGAATAGGTAAAAATAGATATTCTCATGTCATCGAATGCGCTTTATCTGGGCATATATCTTTTACTTCTGTTCTTTTTAAGAATGATTCTAATCATGATCAATTAGTGCCATGATCTCGACCTGATCTTCTCAAATCATCAAATACTGTCAGGAGACAATCAGATATTACTTCAGATATGATCATTTATTCTCAAACAACAACACCTACAATTGATTTAAGTATGAAATATGAAATAATAAATTGCATTGAGTTCTCAATTAATTTGAATTATTTTTATTGATCTTCCTAGACATTTGTTTACTCTGTCTCATTCAGAATATACAAAAAAGAATTATTTTCTGTTCCATTCTTCAGACTAGAGAAAAAGTCAAGTGTAACAAAAAAACAAATAGATTAATTGTATTTTAAAATTATCTTTTATCTATAATAGATTTTATTGATATGATATATCAAATATTCTCTGAAGGACAACGATTTTAGCTAGTTGTTTAATAAGTTTTTTATTTTGGCTCATCTACGAAATTTGTAAACGACAAGAAGAGCAGAACAGTAGAAATCTAAAGCATTCGGTTTAGTCAGAAGAGTTTTTATCTTATATTTGTCTCTCAGTTTCTTGAAATTTCAAATTGACGACTCGATTCTTTATATTATATAAGTTTTTCTTTTTTTTTCTTAGTCAATGTTCAAGAGTACGGATTGAACCAAACATTATGCAATATGCGGTTGAAAAACAATACAGAACTAATGAAATCTACCGAATATTATCATGAAAATATTCAAGATATTTTATTTCTGGATGTTATTTCGAACAAAGAATTAAATCCGCATGGTCACCCAAGTCAAAAACGACGACAACTTAAACGATGTAAAAACGGTATACAACGATGAAAACCGGTGTTTTTGTGTTGGCGTACTCTGGCATCACAGAAAACGGTGATTGTTTAAGACACCGTTTCCGATGGTGGGAATGATCGTCCTGGGTATGTATGCAATAATATACGAGAAGTCCAAGCTGATACCCATGCCCCATGATGTAGTTTAAATACATGGCAATTGTGTGTAAGAAGCGTCGCTCCAGCTAAAAACTTTACATCCTGGATCATAGGTATTATCCTTGTTCAAACAACTACATCTTCACCGACAACAGTAGCGCCAAAAACATACTTCAAATTTATATGAAAAAGTTTTTATTTGAATTATCAAGATGAGCGAATTTATGTTAAATGAACAATGGCGATAGTTGATATTACAGGTGGTGCAATTCAAACAGCTGATATAGATTTTACACAATTCTTTAATTCATTATTTATACTTTGAAACAAAATTGATTCAAGTTATTGTTACGCTATGGTATCAATGATTTGGACTTCATCTCAATAACCATCATCAATATAGATAAAAGAATTATTTCCTTTTTTTTTGTAATCGTGTTGTAATTGTAACAATTATTCAAGTACATGATTGGAATAAAGAGAAAAAACTTGTAATTAAGAGAATATTTTAAGATGATAAATAATTTAATATAAAAAACAAATATTTAAGAGACAATCCACGAGAAAATCGAACATTGAGCAATGAGACGATACTATCGAAAACTTTGATCTCTACATTTTCTGATTTCAAATGAAAAAGCATCATCGATAATCGCTAGACTCAAATTCTTAGTTATTTCTCTGCTACCTATGAAAAGTTATGAAGCAAACACTGAATAGGACTTTGATGGACCGTTTGAAAAAAACTTTTTCTTTATTTTTCAGAAATTCATCATTTTTTTCACAGTTTTTCGTCAGAACCTATTTGAATTATAGCTCATTCGATAAAGAAAATTTTGCTCTACAACATCCTATATATAGTCTTTTCTTTAAGCGCCATTATATGAGTACTTTAGGCTCAAAACTAGATTGCCTTAACTGTCTTCACATGTTCATGTTATTCATTAGAGTCCAAAAAGAGTTTGTATGAATTTAAAGCAACTAAGAAAAAGGACTATCGACGAGTCACGTCTACATCAATTTGATTATTGTATTTTATTCACCTCAGCTGTAATCGATGAACATTATAAAATGACAGAAAAAATACTAATATATAATAACTAAAATCTTTGTAAGTACATCGAATTATTTGTTAAATCTACACTTTTGCAATACTGATACTGGAATTTTATTGACTAATTTATCAGAGTTATATACAATAAAACAGAAAACGAATACTTTAAAGTTATTTCCATTGTAATAGTATTATATCATGTGAATGTTTAATGGAAAAGTCATTCAATAATTTTTTCAATGTTGTTTACCATTTCGCCATTAGTTGATGGTTGATGGAAAGATAATGAAGGAATAGAACATATATCATTATTACCAATATTTTGTAGAAGTGTTCGTAAAAATAATTCAATATTTGTATTGACATGTTTCATTTGAAAATGTTTCATATGAGGACAAACCAAGGTCCAACAATCCGGCATGGGAACGGCTAGTTCCGTGATATTTCGGAGATTTCATGAAATACTACTTCAGAAATCATCGTCCAGGATATAATTATGCGATAAGTTTGTGTGATGAATCTAATAAGTTTTATTTGTCCAAATAATATTGCAAAATAGAAAACATTGTTGTCATTTTTCTAATATTAATGTAGTCGAAGTTGAATATTCTGTATTGGTATTTATCAGATCATGCCAGTTGGTTCTAAAAGAAATAAAAGAATTATTTTTGTACAAACAATATTAATCATTTTACTTCTGTTGAGATATTATATATTGGATAAGTGTTCCAATAACTTTAATATTTATAACTAATTTTCGTTTAAGCCAAAACGATGTAGAAAATGGATTTGCAGGTCCAGAATAAACTGACTGTTGACTATCATTGGTTGCAGCAAAAGAATATTCTAGGTAAAATTTAATCAGTTTTGGGAAGTATCTAGATCAATCATTCGAACCATCTGGAATGGCGTCTTCTCAGGCATGAAACATTAGATTGATTTTGCTTTGATATAATACCAAAATTCATAATAATATCCAATGGTTAAGTGTTGAACATTTACCAGTTGAATGTGTTCTTCTTGCAGCTAATTACTCTTCTTTACATGGGCTTGGCTTATTTGATATAAGTATGATTACTGCTAGTCAATTATTTGAGAGTGAGTAATGTAATTTTTCTTCATTTGATGCTATTATTAAAAAGTTTTTATATTCAAAAATACCTTTTTTTTGTGATCTTTTCTATTAAAACTATCGTGTATGTCTAATTAGGAAACTCGTCGGTTTTATGCACAATAAAAAAAACAAATCTTTTCGCTTAGTATTGGTTTTAATGGAATAAATCGATCATGGATAAAACGTCAAAGAACAAACATTTTCAAAAATATCCTAAGTATGTTCACAAATATAGAATATTTAAATCTTCACTTCGTTGGTGTAGTAAGAGAAGTGACGGACATCTTTTTGAATGACACCCTCTTTACCCATTTCACTAATACGTGATCTTTTTCTCCCCTACCACCTGTTACTTGTTTTTTTTCCTCTCGATATATTTTTCTCTTTCTTTCCTGTTTTATCTTTCTCCGATAAATTCGGAGAACAGTGAGTTGATGGTTGTGTTGAGTTAGAGTAACATGTATTATAGAAAAACGAAACATAACATTATTAGAAGTCATTCTGAATTGAGGCTCGAAGACGGAATAAACTATATGCATTTATTTTTCCCTTTAATAGTATTATTCAATGAAACATTACGTTTCGATGTTCTTCGAACAATTCACATTATTTCTCCTGTTATAACTTATATGCATCGTTTAGAAGCTTATTGCATCTACTTTCCATTACAATAGGGAATACCTATCATGGGACATTCTATCTGAAAAATATATGTCATTTCCAAGTTGAATTCAACTTTGTATCAATAAAGGAAATATTAATAACTTTTCTAATTTTATTGATAATTGCTTTCCGTTAATATAGCAAGTATTAATTCACTTGAAATTACAAGTATTGAAGTAAGTTGATTGTTTTTTAAAACTAATCAATAAATTTCTTTTTCTAGAATAAATAAATTAAAATAAAATGGTTTTCTTTAACATGTGATGAATATTCATTAACGTATAACAAATTAATTAATTTTACTTTAAATCTAATGCCGAACACTGGAAAAGTATCTTTGTATATACTCATTAAAAACAATCCAGAAATTATTGATAATAATGATATTAAAAATTGTATTACTAATGCATTGATTAATTTACAAGAATGCAAAATTAATATTAATTTTTATAAAACTGTACCATTAGGTGATAGTAAAAAAAACAATTTTTGAAATCTCAGAAAAAAATTGTATTAATAATGCTTTCCTATGGCGATGATTCCCGACGCAGTATTCCGTGAGTATTCGGCCAGAACTCGCTGGAAATTCAGTGCAAGGATCCGCCGATCGTATCCGGCTACCGGTTTTGACTGGTTCCTGTGGGTTCCGAATAGGCATGCACCAATTCCAATTC